CTCTCTCGCCTTTCCAAGTCGCAGCAATCTCTTGCAATCCGGCTTTAGTTTGCACCTAATCACATGAAGTCTCACTCCTGTCTCCCACAATCACCAAGTCCCATTTTCTGTCATTGCTAGTCATTTTCCGGCCTCATCAAACTGCATTGCATCTCTTCATCTGAGCGGCTTTCTGCTGCACTGCATTCCTTTTCTCTGACAGTATCATAGGTGGCTGGAGAATCCATGCAGAAAGATAGCAGTGGAGGTGATGCTTTAAATTGATGTGCAATTATCTTTTGCTGCTAAATAATTCTCACAAGAGAGAAACCACTCTATTCCTTTCCACTGTTATAACCGCTAACGGCCCTCATAAAACACATTCCAGCACTATTTATTTATGTAGCATTTTTATTCTGCAAATTTTCCATATATTCTCTCAGACTCATTGCTTTAGACAGACAAGGGAAATGCAGGGATTGTGTTTTCTCTGTCTTTTGGTTACAGTTCACCGATTAGCCACAACACTAACTGCAAACAGGTTAAGCGTGTAACATTGATCATCTTGTTACAAAGCAATATTCTGCTGGGGAACCTTAGGTCCTGGTATTTATGTGGAATATATACTCTGGTACACAGGAAGGTGACACAACCCACAACTCCCAAAAAGATCTATTGCCTTATTGTCCTGATTCTAGACACCACATGGCACACCCAGAGGTCCAGCATCTCAGAACTGTTTTGAGGCAGGAGGGGGACCTACACAATATTCGATAGGTGGTTTTAATGTTGTGGCTGATCGGTGTATGTTTTTTAAAATTAAACACGTCATATACATATACGTACTTTGGGGACTATTCAACAGATGTTTGTGTTTGACGACACTGACCAGACATTCATTTAAACATAAACAGTCTTCGGTCCTGAGCATAATAAAAATCTCACACTTACACGGGTCGACAGCATATACACATACAGTAGTATGTCACTGCTTTTGCAGAAAAAAAAATCGTCCTTTAAAATCATTTTTTATCTTATGTGGACTAAAAAAAAATGACTTGTTCATTTATGCACTGATGAACTTCAGCCTCAGGTGGTTGACACTCGTTAACCCAAAGTATATGTGAGTCAATAAGGAAAACAGGCTTTGTCTTCTGTATCTTGAAAAACATTATCAACATGTTTTTCAGGCCACCAAAGTGATTATAGAGGTTAGATGGAAATGTTATATAGTGGTTTTAGCTAGAAAAGCTCCTCTAATGGGTTACAAAAAGCACAGTTTCTTTGAACTCCTGCAGACAGTTGAGCAGTTCAGCAATTTCTGCTTACCATAAGTCACTTAATTGTTAATAGGGTTGGCATTTTGTTCCCTCTGGGCTTATTTTCTTACCTTGCTGTCTTCACTGTACTTGATGAATGGTGTCTCAGTCTTTGGGGAAATACACCAAATATTCTGTATTATTGAAACAGCTTGTTCAGCAGCTTGTTCCCTAGAAGCTTGAAGAATAACATGGCTCTTGTAGATCAGGAGAATACTATTAATACATATGGGTGTCACAGAACTCCCTGTGCGCTCCCGTGACAGAGGTGGCAGGTTCCCGATTGATTACTATAATCAAGTGCATTTTTTGTCAGTCATGTTTGCAAGCGCTGACAGTCCAGAGTTCTGCTGAGATGGCTCTGTCCTCTGGTCACGTGTTCAAGTTTTCTGGCATTTTGTTAATCAGTGGTTTAAACGGCACCTATCCTGTGATGGGGTACTTGTAGAGTCTGTAGGTTTGGGCAGGTGAAGTAAGGAGCAGGAAGGAAACAGGTTGCTATCCCATTGGAGGCGAATGGCAGTGTTGGTCCGTAAAAAACCTCCTCCTTGCCCTCTGTGCTCAGATCCAGCACCTGGAAAGAGGAAATCCATAATTTAGTATATATTTCTCCTCATAAATTATAGTTACGCAGAAAGTAACACAAGTAGCTTTTAGGGAGGCTAACTGCATGGTTCTCTGGCTCGACATATTAACCCATTACTTTGGCACAGACTAAAATTTCTGCGATTTTAAGTGAAATGTCTCAACAACTATTGGATTGATTGAAATAAAATTTGATACACACATCGATGTTGCTCCCAGCATATGTTGCCAACTCTTTTGTTATTCTCTGACTTTGGCACATTCATCAAGTCTAAGTTTCGGTTTGTCAGATTACTTTGATTTAGGATCAAATACTCACAAAAATACAAGTTCGTCAGCCCTACACGTGCTTTTACCTGTCTGCCAATTAGCAAGCTGTAAGCATGCCAACACACTGAACTAACCCGGTCAGCATGATACCTGGCAACAACACCACGCTAGTGTTGTCATTTTAAGTACAATTTTAAAAAGATTCAACTTGGCAATACTTGACTCATATTTAAAAAAAATAATTTTGCAGAAGAGATACTTTACCATTTTTCTACAAAAGAATGATACACATGTTATTAGTGTCACCTCATACTAAACTCTGAAAGTAGGTGTTCTTCTGGCCTTCTTGGATATTCCTGTTAATCGCTACATTTTTAAGTCTTTGTGCTCTCATATAACTATCCAAGAAAAAAGTCAATTACAGCTCCTTGCACAGTAGTTCCCAACTGGAATTGAAAAGAAACAGCTGGCCTTGTTGAAACTACCCAGTCTTCACATGCCCATGGTGCACACAACTCAAATTCCTGTAACAGTTTTATCTTTGGATTAATGAAAAAAATCTGATAAAGTTCCTTTAGAAGAATTCTTTCCATGGAACAGAACTAGAGGTTATGGCTTAGAATTGATATATACAGTATGTTGGACCATACAACTGTTTCAGACACCTTTGTTGCTGTTTTTTTTTCTGTTTGTTTGTTTTGTTTTTTTTAGTTGTTGTTTTTTTGTTGTTGTTGTTTTTCAGAAATCTGTGACATTTAATTCTCACCTTTACATTGAGGATGAAATAATTGGTACTAAACAGAATTTGTCTGGGCCACAGCTCATTGTTTAAGAATCCAAGATGTATGGTGTAATTAATTATTTGAGTGCTGCTGCATTTTATGTGGAATAGCTGAATTCATATCACTTTATCTGATAAATCTGTTAATCCAAAATCCACACCTCTCACCTGAATGCATGCCAGAGGCTCATTAGTCCAAATGGAGTATCCTCCAACCACATAGATCCTGTCATCGTGGACGGCCACTCCGGACTCGTTCTGACCTGAGGAGGACAGAGCCGACACAATGCTTCACCGTGCCAAGCAGAGGGCATTCTGACAATATGACTTCCACGTCCCCCAAGAGGCAGAGAGGGAGATAAATGGAGAAAGATGGGGCGAGGGCGGGAGTGTATGGAGAGCTAAGATTGAGCTCCTGTTGTCTTTCTGTGACTTTGTCTTTAAACTTTCACTGATGTAATAAGAGGAGAGGATTCAAGAACAAGTGAGGAAAGTCAAACTGGAGTAGCGGAGGAAGGAGGAAAAGTAAAGTCACCTGTACTGTAAAAGCCGGTGAGCCTATATCATGAAATGAAAAAAAAAAAATCTGATCACAACATCCTACAGTATATGCATGATAGAATGTGTTTAGAGTGCCCATGCTCCATCCCACTGCCGCCCTGGAGGCTAATGATACAGCATACCCACAGGTTCAATGCAGAGACATATATGTTTTAATTGTATATCATCTTACCGCCTACTCGCAAACAGCAGGGAGGTTTAATGTGTTATGTTTTCAATCTAATGAGAGGAGGAGGGGGAGGGAGCTTTACTCAACCTAAGGTCCTGAGCACCACATGTGTACAGTACATCCTTGGAATTAACTTTACTTTTGTTCCTGATAGAATTAGCATTAAAACCCCTGAAAACTTGGCTTCAGATCTTAGGTGATTTACTTTAAGATGAGATATTTATGCCTAAATAAACAGTTAGAAAATCAAACCAAGGTGGCCACATTTGATTGACAGTGGCCCATCAAAAGGTTGCTGTCACAATAAAGTATGTGCCATCCCTTTTGACTGAAAACTGGCCATGAACTTTAAACCACTGACTATATCTGGGTCTTAAACATGACGCTAATGCGGACGTGACATAAACATGCATTCTTTTTTAATTACCAGCAGGGGGCGACTCCTCTGGTTGCAAAAAGCTGTCAGTATTTACAGCAATCTATGAGAACATGGCCCTTCTTTTTTCTTGACTTATTACCTCAGTAAACATTTTCCTAACGAGTTTCTGGTCTCAATTGCAACTTCTAAATCTCGTTAAAGACAGCATGATGCTAATTTTATAAATTATTGTCACATTTTCAATACATTAGATTATAAAGTAGGATATGTGTTGAGGTATGGCTACCTTGTGATTGACAAGTGGCTACCTTATGTATAGTTTTCTGTTATAAATATATTTTAGGTCAACCTGCAAAAACAGATTTGTTAACCATCTAGCAGAAGAAGAAAGCTGTGGACATATTGTTAGCTTTAAAGTTGACAACACTAACAGAACAACATCAGCATTCATCCAGAGTAGTGTTTCAGACCACTTGTTTTAACTCTGTTTTAGGTCTCCACCAGTGCCTCTGAGATTCCTCTGGTTGTTTAGATGCTGAATGCAACATAGTGTTAACTTATACACATTTAGACTCAGGGTAAAGTGGCTTCTAGCACTGTGTGCAGTTTGTCAGTGACAGGACAGGGCCTTCCTTTGCTGTTACTGCCCCAGGTCATGATTTATCAAAGGAATATTTTTAGAAATACGCTTTCTCCCAAGAGTCACATTAGACAACTGATACCACTCACTTTTCTGTTGGCATTTATGAAACTACAGCCAGGAGACAGTCAGCTTAGCTTAGAATACAGACTGGAAACAAGGGAATAGCTAGTCTGGCTCTGACCAAAGTTACACAAGCCACCAACCAGCAACACTACATCTCACCATAAACATCCTACATCTGCTTTGTTTCATCCTTAAACCCCAAGTGTAAAATTGACAAATTGACACATTTATGGGGGGTTACATAGTAGATAGTTTCTTGGCCAAATGAAGTCAGTTCAAGAGTTTTGGCTCAGCAGATTCAGGTTTTTTCTATTTGTAGATATATTGCCCCATTTCTAGTCTTTATCCTAAGATAAGTTAACCAAGTCCTGACAGTAGCTTCATATTTAGCGTACTGACAAGAAATGGAATCAATCATTTCATCTAATTCTCAGCAAGAAACCAGAGAAAGCTGCAATTTCCGTGTCACATTCAGCACTGCTTTTGCTATATCAGGAGCGTTGAGACAAAGAAACACCATTGTGCAGGTTGGCCAGTTGTTCGCAATCAACTGCTTAGTTATCTCCACCACCAATTAGAGTGTATATGCTACACGTGGTGTTTTTTTTTTGTTTTGTTTTTTTTCCCTCTGCCCACCTGTGAGGAGGCTGAAGGAGCAGCGTGTCCACTGGTCCAGGTCCATGTTGTAGGAGTCGATGTGACGGACCAGGATGCGGTCGTTGTTGTAATCCAGGTCGTTCCCACCGAGCACGTAGAGCTGCCTCCTCACCGCCGCCATGACGTGGTACACTCGCCTCTGCAACATGGGACTGCGGGCCAACCACTGGTCCTGAGGAGGAGGAGGAGGTGGAGGTGGTGGAGCGAATGTGGGGGAGAAAAAGGCAGATGGATTTGAAGAAAGAAGGGAGAAAATGAGAGATGTAGTACAAAGAGGGAGGGAGAGAGAAACAGAGAGGGTGGAAAAGGGAAGGAGGATGAATAAGAAGATTAATATTTAAGCATATCCATGCATGGGTAATTGATGTATGCTCAGTGCTAGATAAATAACGTGACACTGGAGCTCTGGTTTGTACTAATGACTTCCCTCCCTATTTCTAATCATATGTTTCAGCCACTCCATTTTACACCAAGGATCCCTGCTCATTTCACTAAGTGTGTCGAAGCTTATTTTGTGTCAGTGTGTGTGTGTGTGTGTGTGAGTGTGTGTGTGAGTGCTTGATTGAGGCAGAGAATGAGAAAGAGAGAGAGAGAGAGAGAGAGTGTGTGTGTGTGTGTGTGTGTGTCTGCTGGGAGCTGACGGGTGGCCATCTGTTGAGGGTAGAGTGGGTGGGGGGTTGCTGTTGCTCTGGCAGGTGAATGTAGATTCATGGTGAATACAAATGAGACTCTCTCCCTCTCTTTCGCTCGCTTCTTCGTTCCCTCGCTTCCACGTAGACATGTACAAACACAGACCCATATGGATATGCACCTTACACGTATACACACGCCGCATACCTCCGTACTATATACAGCCTCGCCGCCATCCAGGCCTCTTTAACAGCTGGCTCTTATACATACACAAACAGAAAGTGCAGCTTACTACAATCCAATGTGGTGAGCTGTGTGTAAGAATTCCAAACACAGAAATGATATTAAATGTCAAATTTCCTTATCCATGATGCATGGCAGGAGGTGTGTGTGCCTGTACGATTGCACACTGTGTATTTAGGATAAAAGGTTGCAACCTTGTAGAAGTAATATTCAGAGGATTTGCATTAAAAGGCCAGTTCCAGTGTTTTTTGGGGGTTTTTTTTTCCTTGTTTGTTTTCGTATCTACAAACATGACTGAAGTCATATATACAGCACTTTACTGTAGAATTCAAGATTTCTTTATCTATTTTTTCTATTTTTTTAGGATGTCAGTGGTTTCCATTTATTTCCAAATGGTGTGAAAATCAAATGAGCAAACACTTGATTCTTGTCTGTTGTGTAATCAATCACAGTGATAGATATTTTTTTCTTTCGAGAAGTATGCTTTGTATCACATCATAACAAAAAATGGACAAAATTCATAAAATAAAATAAAATGTACCAGGGAGAAACCTCAGGAACAAGGCTTGCAGCTGATCCTGATGAGGATCAAAACATGTTGCTCTCATAACAAGTTGCTCTTAATGCAACATCTGCACAGAACTAAATGAAACCCACTGGCTTTCTGGCAGATAAAGAGCTGAATTTTTTATTACTAACAACAAAATTATTAGTTGATTTGTTCTGGGGCACTCAGGGGCAGCATAACAAGCCGTAAATACTGACATATTATAACTTTAAATGTGTTTGCAAACAGTTTTTTATCTGCATCTAGAAGACACGGAGCCATACTTGCATTAATTTAGAGTCCTGCTTCTGGCTGCCTAGCAAATTTATGTCCACTACTTATTAAATAAACTCATCCAGCTCTATTTGGTCTCTGCAAGATCCTGAGGGAAAATATAAATCTTTTTAGTTTGTTAAATGCTGCATTATGTTTACCAGCTAGTCGCTAATTTTATCTGTCTGCTGTTTGGTCCTGGGCAGCTTGTGTACAGGGGGTTTATCAGATCTTTTTTTAAATGATAACAGCTGCTTGCTGGTGCTGGAAACCAAGGATGAGAGCCGGGAAAGGGAACCAAAAAACAAAAGTGAAGTTGCATGCTGTAAAACCAAGACAGAGTGTTAAAAAACTGTAGAATTTGATGGTAATCCTCTGTGAGTTTGTCACTTTGAAGAACTATCTGGGGTTTCTTCATCCATTGTTTAGGTGAAAATACTGACTTGAGCAGCTTAAAAGTTGTGCTATTGAATATAGCTAGTACCAATACGGTGTACTAAACTATTCAAGTACAGTGTTGTAATGGAATAAAGCATACAGGCATTTATAAGACTCATTTGTTCAATACACAAAATCTAATCTCATTACTTTATAGTTACCTGTTCTGGGTCATACACCATCAGCCGATTTTGGTACTGAGCGGTGTTTGTTACCCCACCTGCAACACAAAGGAACAACACCCTGGGAATTTGTCGGTGACAGATTTTGGGACAAAAATTCATGAAGCTGTGTGTTTGACCTGAAAGTGTCTGTGCATGTATATATTCAAGTATGTGTAGAATTGACAAAAAAAGAAACACATTTGGTAGAGTGTGTATGGTGACTCCTCCTTCTGTCTCCTTGTGTACCTGAGACCCAGAGCAGGCTGTCAGCCACACAGCCGGCGTGGCAGGACAGTGAGCGGTCGAATGGCTGGACAAACATCCATTTATTCCTCTTGGGACAGTAGCGCTCCACAGAGGGCAGCACCTGTCTCAGCTCATTCCTGCCCCCCACTGCGTACAGGTACTGACCCAGAGCTCCCAGGACAAAGTGTTCCCTGCAGGCCTTCATGGGGGCAATCTCAGTCCACTGGTTGCCCCTGGGGTCATATCTACAGGCAGTCCTTACTGCGCACGTCCTCCCAGTGGCATGCTCCACTTCACCACCCACAACAAATAAGAAGTTCCCCATTACAGCCACACAGTGATGGCTGCGCCCGGTGGGCATGGGCGCCAGCTCGCTCCAGTTCGAGCCGCCGGCCACACGTACGTGCTCCTGTGCGGCTGGGTTGAAGTACCGCAGCTCCCGGACTCTGCTCACCTCCCGCTTCCGCCCCCCGACTATGTAGAGGGTGAGGGACTGGAAGCGAGGCCTGGTGCGGGCCGACTGGTGGAGGGGCTGTGCGAAAGTGGAGTGGTGGTAGTCCAGGGCCTCGTCCACCAGGGCGGCAGCGGTGGGGCTGGACTGGACCAGAGGATGGCTTCGGGCAAGGTGGTGCAGGGTGGGGACGTCCATGAGGCCATAGCGGACGTGCTGCAGAAGATCCTCGGTGTACTGGTATCGACAGTCGTGTTCCAGCCACAAGACGACCAACTAAATACAGAAAATAAGAGACCAATAGTCATTCCTGTGTGAGATGGGAAACATTTTGTCATATTAAGTTATAATATTGTCCAAATTTAGTATGTCATGTTTTTTAAAGTACGTCAAATTATTGTTCCACTAAAAGATTAGTGGGTACATCATCTTAAAATCACCATGCAGTGCCTTCTTTTTTACAGAATTGATGAAAAAAGTAGATTTTTTTTTTCAAAGTCATGGAGTTAATCCAAAGAAAATAACAATAACTCTGAGGATGGCTTTGATTTCGTTTCTTTTTTAATTTGAATTAAAAAAAGCTCCCCACCATCTTCATTTTCATGCAGTCAATTCAAAACAAGAGCAAGAAGGAGGAAGAATACGATAGGGCAAGACGAGAAGTTAAGAACAGAGAGAGAAGGAAGACAGAATTAAGGGGTGCAAAGGGAAAGGAAAGCCAGTATGAAAAGAAGAAAAGATTAGAAAAAAAAGGGAAGAAAAAACAAGATGTGAGGAAAGAAACGATTGAAGGACTGCTAATCAGAATTATTTTTCTAGACACCTATAGGCTATTATGGCAAGATTGAGGCAAGCCAGCACTGGAGCCTTAGTTGCCAAACGCGCACACACACACACACACACACACAAACACACATACAAGCATTTATTAATCAGTAGCATTCAATATACAGACTGCAAATATCCACAGGCACCCTCCTTTGTTTAATGCAGGCGAACTGGGTAGCAGGGAAGGGATTTAATTGAACTCGAGAGCAGTGGAAGGTTATTTAGCTGCGACGAGGTGTGAATGTGGGCGAGATGACTGGAGATCATTGATACCATTATCAGGAAAACAAAGTGGTTTTTAACGCAGTCTGTGCAGAGACTGAGAACTTATTACGGCGGAATAAAGGCAAGTTTTAGAGGGGGGAAATGGACATAAGAAAGCCCAAGAACAAATCAAGTTCACAATAATACAAACTGATACAAAAACACAGGATTTGGAGAGCGTGACTCGATGTGTGCCTTGTCTTTACTATACAAACAAAACTGCTTTTTCCTTCATGTTCCCTTCAATGCACTCTAAAGGTGTGAATATGCAACAAACATGCAAGTCAGGCTTCTGTCTTTTTTGCGGTATCTGTGCCACTCTCCTGTCTCTTCCTCCCTTTCCTCTATTGCTCACCCCGCCTCTCTCCTCCTCATCGCTCTGAAGTGACAGTGTGTGTGCGTGTGTGCACTACGGCAGCTGACTGTGAAGGTCACGCTGCATCACACAACTTCCTCGGGGCACAGAATAAATCAACTCCTTCTCCCTCCTTCCACTGAAAGAGAAAGTGCGAGAGAGTGTGTGTGTGTGAGGATTTGTGTGTGTGTTGGTGAAAAGGGGAGAGTGAGGGAAAGAGATAGTGAGGGAGAGAGGTAAGGGGAGGAGGAGGAGGAGGGGAAGCTACAGAAAGGCAGAGCAAAGGATGGCAAGAAAGAGAAAGAGAGAGACAGAGAGGAGGAAAGGGAAAAAAAAAAAAAACAAAGGCAGAGAAAATGTGATTTCCAGAGCGTGAGAGACTCTAAGAAAACTCTGAGTGACGATGATTGACGGCCGAGCTATATCGGTCCGGTATTGCCGCGCCACCCCGCCACCCTCCAGCCCCCCATCCTTTCGGACGACAGCCCCCGCTTGCTGTTCGCTTCCGTCTGATGCCCAAATTAACCTTCTGGGCGAAGTGAAGGAGGCCCAAAGCAGCCTAATCAGAGGCTGATTATGGCGGCGGCGGCTGGCTAAAGGGTCAGGGTAATTGTGCCATCAGAGGCCTGATTGTTTTCAATCAGACGGGCGGCCGAGTGACAGCTGGGGGATTGGGGCCCTGATGGAGCCGCGGTGGGCCTAATCAGAGAAGAGAAGGGGAGAAAAGAAAGAGAGGGGAGAAAGAACTGAGGGGGAGGTGGAGGGGGGGTAGTGGGAGTGGTGCGGGGGCTGATTGGTGCAAATGAACAGTCAAAACGACGAGTCCCCACCCCGCACTGCCGCCTCACTCCACAATCCCAGCAGTTCATCACATGCACGCTTTGATGGGATGCACGGACTGACAGCGTATCATGCACACGCAGTCAGAAACAGTTCTTCCCATTGCATATCCTCATTTATATAAACAAACAGTATATGAGTTGCAGATGGCAGTGTTTAATTTCTTGTGTATTGGTCTGTGCGTTTGCATGTGTGTGTGTGTGTGTGTTTGTGTATGTGTGTTATATGTACCGATAAGTTTGGTGCCAAGATGCAATTTGTTCAAATTCACAAGCAGATACGATTGTTTCTCACTTTCATTTTTCATCTAAATATTACCATAACACTGCGCTTTAACACTTCAACACTGCATCACATGGAAAACTCATGGCCACATCACACTCACACACACTCACACACACAAAGACACACAAGCTTCCAGTAGCATACCTTCCATATCTCCTCCTCGCTTAGGGAGGTGAGACGGTCGCTCTTCAGCACCTCCCTGAGGAGGCGGTAGGGCAGCTGCAGAGCCTCGTCCTTCCGGCTCTGGCTCAGCTCAGACAGATGCTCCACCAGGAAGCCCACCACAGCCTCCTCTAAGGCGGGGAGGTGGAACAGGTCGGCCACGCGGTACAGCTCTAGGTAGTTCACGCTGCTCAGTTCCTGAGGGATGAATACATAAAAAAAATGCAGAGATGAATGGACGTTTTCAGCATCAACAAGAGTCAAGAGGCTTCAGAGATAGCTGTCAGGTCATGTGACTCCGAAAATACTCCACAGTAACCAATGGGGAGGAAATTTGTGAGAAAGAATCTGTAAAAATAGACATTTAAAGAGTGCTTATGGGTGGTCATGGGAATCTTCACTTTGATTAGAAACTGCAGCGCAACAATGTTTAGGTTTCAAATGATCTAGATCGGCTCCAATCAGTTGCCCCTTTGAGTGATGTGTCATTTTGTTTGTCAAAAATGTAGTTGTGTAAAAGTCTATGTAGTTTTCTTTTGTATCATTTAGTCTGAAGAGGGTCACGTTTACAAATTATAAATGTAAAAAAGTTGGACATACACACTCAATTCCAAAACATATACACATATAAGCCACATGTAAACACATATGCATTAACTCTGATTTAATTTCAGTGTCATGACAACGTCGAAGATGTCAAATGGAGACAATCAGACAGAAAGGGTAAAATAAAAGAAACTGAGGTCTGACTAGTGGAATAAGACTGCCATCTTCTGGCTGCTCTTCAGCACATGCAAACAATCAGCTGCATCCTACTCTACTTCTGTTCATAATGCAGTGTTAATAAGGTAATACCTTCATAGATTAGGCACTTCTAAAGTTGATATTTGCACTGAATTGAATCTATTGCAATATATGCTTTAACTACTTTTTCACATGCACAAAAAAGTAGTGTGTATCTAATTTTTGAAAAGTCAGAGCCAGGATTCAGAGCAAATGAGCATAAAGGTCTTCATGAAAATTAGAATGATGAACATACAAATAAAAATGTCAACAATCACACACTCATAGCGGTTAAAATTACAGTGCAATACGCAGCAAGTGCAGTATTGATCATTTAGTCAGCATTCAATTAACTTCATCAGTAGCCATCAGATCATACGGATGATTGACTGGCTGATATATCTGATTTTCAATCAGCTGCTGCAGTGTGTATTAGCAAATCAATGTTATTGGTCGGCCTCTACTCCAATCAAACAGAAAAAATAACAGTCAGCTGATATGACAGTAGTGTTGAGCACACAAGTATGGTGGGAGGCAGCGAAATGTGCAAACAAACACAGAAAAAAAAAAAACAAAAAAAAAGTGGAGTTTGCTTTTTACTTGACAGTGAGATATGTTCTGGTCTAGAAGGAGACAGAGACAAGCTTTTTTTATAACCACCAGATGGCGCATTAGAGCTGTGTATACTGTTGTGATGTAACTGTAAAGACTTGAATGGTAAAATGCAGTATAAAAAGATTCCTGTCCTATGGAGGAGATTTGAGGACATCATCACCATGCATCAGATTAAATAAAATATGTAATCGGGTATGTAGAATATAATCTGTACTGATACGCAGTTATATGATTCTAAAACTACTGCAAAATGCCTAAATTCCAGAGAAAACTGTAAAACACATACCCAAGAGTATTTCTGCTCTAAAGCAACCTCAGTCTGGTTTGTTTTTATCTGCACCAGTTCTTGGCAGCGCACCCAGAGGACAGCCGGCTGACTTTGCTTCTGTTCGGTAGCACATGCATTTTGGTCTTGTGATAAACTGTATGAAACACACAGCAGGGTGGACCAGTTCTTGAACAGACTAGGACTCGGACACCTTACAGTGGCCGACAAGTATAAACCCTGCTGAAGTGTACCTGAGCAGCGCACTGAATTCTCAAGGGCTGCTGTCCTCTAACCGACTCTGGCCTTTAACCTCTTTGTGGGGGAGGATTCACACCAGACCATTAATTACAGATTACAGCAGCAGACTGCAGTCTTACTGTACGCGGATTAGTTTCCACATCAAACTCTGAGGTCATATTCGCTTAAAGGCATAGCTCGACATTTTTGAAGACAAACTTTTATGGGGTTTTTTTTGCTGAGATATACGAAAAGGTTGATACAAATTGTTCTTTTTTTCAGAAAATATGAAGCTTGAACTGGGAGACAGATAGCCAAGCTTAGTGTAAAGACCCAAAACAGAGGGAAACAGCCAGGATGTCTCCGTCAAAAAGTTGAAAAATCCACCACGACAACCCCTAAAACTTCTGAATATATGTTTTTTGTTAAAGTACAAATAAGGATATAAGAAGTGAGCATGACCCAAAAAAAGGTAACCAAGAACATAACAGCTTCTTGAAACCAACATTTTAGCACACTTCAGTTTTCACTATGAATTAAACAAATATAATATCAATTTAATAATAATCAGATGATGGTATGGTAAATGTTCCAGCACCAGTAACTAGCTCGTTGTCATTTAAACATAAAAACAACCTATAATACAGTTATGGTTAGAGATTGTCCAACCCCCTCCCAACATTTGTATTTTGAGAGTCATTCATTTGCCAAAAAAGGGACAAAACACACAATAAACAAGGTTAACTTGAAGAATTTGACTGATTTTGGGGGGGAAAAAATAGATAGTGTAATAATATTGTTATTGTGAATTCATTTGGCCACAATATTGATGTAGTGAAAATCTGATATCATGACAGTCCTGATCCAGACTGAGCTAGGCTAACTGTACCCCCTTGGTTCCAGTCTTCAAACTAGCTGTCTTCTTTACTTCACATGGAAGTCAATTGTAGTCTTCTCATTTAACCCTAGGTAAGAAAGAAAGAAAAAAAAAAAAAAAAAAAAAAAAACACTTCCGAAAATGTTGAACTATTCCTTTTTTTTTTTTTTGGTGGTAGTGTTTATTCTCTGGTTTTGCTCATTTGCACATCATTATATCAGTGATAGTGTTATTCAACCAGGATTGTTCCACAGGGAATTCGGGGGCTTTGACCTGTAAACACTTTACCCAGATTTCTGTCATTGTCTTGTATTTGCGCAAACACGTTAGATTCAAACAATAGTAGGTGGTCAAAAAACACACAGCTGGTATACATGGCAGCTTGAAAGTGATCGTTCCCTTATTTTAAGTCTAGTTTCAGTCTTTCGCTTGATTAGTATTGAAAACATGAAGAGATCATGTCAGAATGTTTGTCACAAATAAGCAGTTTATACCAATATAGTCACAATAATCTCTTTGGCAAATTACCTCATATAATTTTTCCTAACAAAAGGTGGGACCTGTTGGAAGTCTACAGTTCTATTCCAGTCAAGTTCTTGCATGTGGTTCCTCTCATTGTTGTCTTGTTTACTGTAAAGGTCAATTCTTGCTCTGTTATGTGAGACCCTTATTAGTCTCTGATATAGATCTTAATTCGGATACCAATACAATAAAGGTGTGAAATAAGTTGTAAAAGTAAGTAAAAGCTATTTCACTTCAATTTAAGTGGCTCATTTGTACATTTTCTTAATATTCCCCTACAGACAGAATCAACTCGACCAACTGTTTCTAAGAGAAGCGCACCTCTGACAACTCCATAATCCTACAGAGTTTCCATTAGCTTGATAGGAGCTCTGTATTGTGAATCCGCTTTTTCTTTCAGTTCCTCTTCGAACATCTCCAGCTCACACACGAGGCCAGCTGCCTGTGTGTGTGTGTGTGTGTGTGTGTGTGTGTGTGTGTGTGTGTGTGTGTATGTGTGTGTGTGTACCTGGATGAGGTAGTGCGAGCAGAGACTGAGGAGCTCGAGCAGCTGCAGGTGGCTGCCTGCAGACAGGACGTCCTGGATCACCGCCGGCTCCAGCAGAATCTGGCCCGAGGAGATAAACAAGGTCATTAGGTTTCTTTCATAGATTTTTTTTTTTTTTTTTCAGTTTCAATTACACTGCAGTTGTGTTTCAGGTTGTTTGAGGACACTGATTCTCTAAGCATTCTGGAAGTAAAAGAAATTTTGTGGAAAAATGCAAATTGTGCATTTTCACCTGTACTTTAGGTATTAGTGATCAAATAAATGAACCCTGTGCAAACCTCAAAAATTACACCGCATCCATTCTGCCTTATTTATTTAACAAATCAAACTTATAACTCACAGACTTTCCTCAAGCAATGGGTGAAAATCATTTGTTTTTCTCTAAAGTGTTGACATGTTGAGTATCATAATTGTATTTATAGTGCTCAGTGTCAAATATTTTCCTCTAAACTGCCACTTGTGAATTAATGATGTAATAATAAACATGAAGAGAAGTTCTAATTAGCTGCACCATACTATATGCTAATTAATTTGCTTTCAATAAAGTGATGAACTAGATAACTAAGGAGCAAGACCTTGCAATATATATGAAAAACGTAGCTTTAAGAGCAGAAACTTGGCAGCAAAAGCAGTAGACAAAGCAAAAGCAATGTTTCAATTACTGTAGGACAGTTCGTGTAAACCATGAGTAGGGAGCTTAATAGTTTGTGCAATTACAAAAGTGTAACACTGCATAATAAGTATGAACAGAGTTTATTCACCTGGGTTGAAATATATTTTGAGAAGATGATTTTTGGCATCTGTAAGAGTAATATTATTCCCAGCAGAGTGTTCTATTATGAAGTATGTAGTGATGTTTGGAATACCACTCCTGTATTTTAGAGTTAAACCTGCAGTGTCAAACTTCTGTCTCATCCTTCTGGCAGTGAAAGTAATTCCAATTTTTTCTCTGAAGGCTGAGTTTCTTTTTTTTTTTTATCTGGAACATCACAAACTTTTCTTTTTTAGACCCTTCCTAGGCTTCCCTGCTGTTGCCTCCTCTTCCTCCACGACTATGTTTGCTCTACTCTTCAGCTCTACCAACCACTCAGTGCTGCTCAACCAAAAAACACATCGATGCACCGGCGCAGGAATGTTGCCACAGACACCAGACCAAGATTTACCTGTTGCTGACAGGTTCGATCAACATTGTGTGGACCCATTTGGCCAGAATTTAAATGTAACGGATGTTTATTTATATGTAAAAGCCCCTGCACATCAGTTTGAAGTCATAAGCATATATTGCATGAGCTCACTTTAAAACCAGGACAGCATTTTTTATATTTATTTGTTTCACTTCTTCATTGGGGTTGATTTTGACTGACAATAACCGAGAATATTAAAAAACACTGGCGCCAGTGTAACAGAGACAGTGGAGGTGAACATAACAGATTGCACAGCATAACAAGAACTGCTCTTCCAATAAGCTTGATTCACCATTATCCTCTACAGAGTACAGCAACATACAGTATTCAGGCAATTATTATAGCACTGATTCTGCCAAAATGCTTCCTGTTTAGCTGAGTAAACAGCAGCTGAAATTATCTGCTGAACGCTTCCGTCTGTTACCTCCATATTACCCGCCCATATGCAACATAAAGCGCTGTAACGCAGCCAGTTCATACTCTTAAGCTCTTGGGAGCAGAGCCAGGCAGTGCTGGAGTATTATTACCACATGGAATTAAATAATCAATTAATTACCTTTTAATAATAACCAAATCAGACAAAACAGACCCCAAGTTACCTCTCGTAGAGTGGACTCACCTACTCCAAATGCAGTTTGGTTTGATTTTAAAAGACAGGAACAAGCCTTTGATAATCCATTCAGCGGCGTTGCCCTACATAACCAGAGAGCCGTGACTGCATCAGTAGTGAAAGTGAGAAAAATGACTTCATCATTTGTCTGCCTCGCCTCTCCTCTCACTACTGTTGATGCAGTAGTGGGCTGAAAAGTCTTCAGCCTCATTAATGGGTATCTTATTTTGTTTGTTTTTGCTCAAGTCCGCTCATTATTTCTGAAGTTGAAAACAGAAAACACAGAATAGATCTGAACACAAATAAATAATTTCAGTCCACATTTGTACTGATTACATCCTATAAATACACACATAGTTTGACCACATTAGGATTATGTCAACAGTTCATTTTAATTCATTAAGACATCTGTTTAAAACAGCAAAATATTTTTCCCTGTTGCAGAGCCACTCTCCCAGCAAGCTTTTCTGATAAGTTTTTTTTTTTTTTTCCCCTTCTCTGCAATTAGCTACATCTGCACATTCTCATTTATCACGGTATGTTTTCCTGCCAGGCCTGGGCAGCAGTCCAGTTAACCACCCGCATCAGCCACGGGCCTCATAAGCTTAACATATTAAGACAGAGAGCAAAAATAAGTGGTTATTTGTTTCAATTACGAGGATCTGTATGCACTGAGCTTAAAAAAAGAACCCTCCAATCTTTGATCACCAATCACAATCAAAACTCTCAACTCCAGTCACCTCTACCTCTTTTAGACGACTACAAACTGAGGTAAACATGTTATCAAAAGCATCAAACGCTATATTTTCTTAGACTCGGTCAGCGTCCTGTCAGGCATCGATGGCAAGCCGAAATAATGACAGTCATAGCTGTAAGTCAATGCTCTTCATATCCCGCTCTCATCTCCACTCCAGAGGCCCACTACAGTTGGAGCACTTCAACCTCACACAGCAGAAGTCAGTTTTATAACACTGTGCCTGGTTCAGTGTGGGAGTACAATGAGCTCTTGTGTAAACCGACTTTTATTGCGCTTGCTTCTTGCGAGTTTCCAGCTGGAGGAGACAAAATAAAAGATGCTTATTTGGCAGAACGTATAGATCTTCTACTTTAGGATGTGGCCCATGTGGGCTCACTCCACACTTTGAGCTCAGCAAATTGTTTTTTTTTTAGTCTGAGAAATTGCATTCCTGTGGGTAATAAAAGGATGTTTAATTGATCGAGTTTTCCACTGTGGTCCTAGCGCGCAGTTAAAATTCCAATGAAGTTAATAACTGACTTCCAATCTGTGAGCATCCTGTGGCAGCATGTCTCGTCACTCACCCCGCTGGCCTATGACATGTGACTGAAGGATTTTTAGTAGGTCATTATTTACGGAGTGGGGATAAGCATATTGCCCTCATCTCATCTGCTATCATCTCCTCTGGGCAGACAGGAGCTGAGCCAACCAAAGCAGGGCGGCTTGCAAGCCTGCTGTTGACCTACTTACACCGCCTAACCGACTCACTCTTTGCTCATTTCCACTGTGGAAATAAAATTAGGAGTAATTACAAAGTTCCTGGCCTCTCAGTATATGAAATAAGCCACTAGGCTGCTTAGTGGAGCGAGAATCACTGGCACAATGAAAGGTCAAGGAAGGCTATTAGAAATGATCTCTTTATTGATGGGGTGAGAAGGCAAGGACACACAGTGACGTCACGCACATGACTGTCTCCTCATGACAGCTTTAGCATGGAAGTGTAACACTGTGCTCTTTGTTGAATGTGAGTTTAAAAGTGCTTCTTATTTCGGTCCCAAATTAATCTAGTAGTTTGACTGCAGCAAGCAGAGAAGTGACCAATTTATTGCAAAATCTGATGCAGCACCTGCACACTCCTGGATAACACAGTCATTCTGAAGTAGAAGCTTATGCTGCAGAGATTAAAGAGGTAATCTGCCAAATCCATGTTTTGATTTATTTTTGTGACTTATTTGGCACGGATGAAAAGTAACTACAGTACAACTTCTCATATTTTGCTTGAGTATTTCAAATGTGTGCTTTATTAGACTCCTGTTTACCTACATTTCTGGGGGATTTTTTTGTTTTTTTCAGCTATTAACCTTATTTGCCACCTTATTATTATATGTTTCAATTGTCATACCCTGCTGGTATACAAGTGGTCAAAATTAGCCACAGCATTAATATTGCTTACATGTAAATACAGTATTAGCAACAATCCCATGATATATGACACTGACAGGGATCATTCTGCACAATGTGTAGTTTGGCTTTCAGTATTTCTGTTTGAAAAAGTTACTGCCTCAATATGCTATTACTGAAAATGTGCTAATTGGCTTAGCATGTTGTTAGCTGCTGAGTATCTGGTAACATTGCAGACAATACAGAAGTGTGTGCTGAGCTATAGGAGCTGAGTATGCTGGTTTAGTTTGTTCAGAGCGTTCAGTTGCATTCTACCACTGCTATATGCAACATGCTGGTTAGACCTATCCACTGAGGCTCTTGAGCTTGGCTATCGTAGTTTACTGTGTAAAGTAAACACGAGCTTGTTGGTGATGGTAAAGGCGTTTTAGTGCCTGGCAAGCAGAAGCCTAACACATAATTAATCTCAGAGAATATCCAGCCATCCATCCATCTATCTTCTCCCGCTTATCCGGAGTCGGGTCGCGGAGGCAGCAGCCTGAGCAGAGCCGCCCAGACTTCCTGATCCGCACACACCTCCTCCAGCTCTTCCGGGGGGACCCCTAGGAGTTCCCAGGCCAGTCGAGAGACATAATCTCCCCAACGTGTTCTGGGTCTTCCCCAGGGCCTCCTCCCGGTCGGACGTGCCCGGAACACCTCCCCA